TCCTCAGGTGGCGCCGGCGGGGCCGGGGCGGGGCCGGGGCGGGGCCGGCGGGGCCCGGCCCCTCCTCCTCGTCGCTCTCCACCAATCGGTAGCCGCGGTTCTGGCGCTGCAGCTCCAGCGCCGCCCGCTCGGCCGCGCGCCCCGGCGGCTCCCGCGGCGCCGCCCGCGGCACCTGCAGGGGCGGGGTCAGGCGCGGGCACGCCCACCGGGACACGCCCACAGGGACACGCCCATAGGGACACGCCCATAGGGACACGCCCACAGGGACACGCCCACAGGGACACGCCCATAGGGACACGCCCAATGGGGACACGCCCATAGGGACACGCCCAATGGGGACATGCCCACCGGGACACGCCCACCGGGACACACCCAACGGGACACGCCCACAGGGACACGCCCAATGGGGACACGCCCAATGGGGACACACCCAACGGGACACGCCCACCGGGACACGCCCACAAGACACGCCCAATGGGGACACACCCAACGGGACACGCCCACCGGGACACGCCCATAGGGACACGCCCAATGGGACACGCCCAATGGGGACACGCCCAATGGGGCACGTCCACAGGGACACACCCACCGGGGACACGCCCACAGGGGACACACCCAACTGGACACGCCCAATGGGACACGCCCAATGGGGACACGCCCACAGGGACACGCCCGCCGGGACACGCCCATAGGGACACGCCCACCGGGACACGCCCACAGGGGACACACCTACAGGGACACACCCAATGGGGACACACCCACAGGACACACCCACGGGAGACACCCACTTGGACACGCCCACAGGGGACACGCCCACCGGGACACGCCCACAGGGACACGCCCACCAGGACATGCCCAATGGGGACACACCCAACTGGACACGCCCACAGGGACACGCCCACAGGGACACGCCCACTGGACACACCTACGGGGCACACCCAACAGGGACACACCCACTGGACACACCCACGGGGGCACACCCAACGGGACACGCCCAAAATGGACACGCCCAACAGGGACACGCCCACCCGAGATGGACATGGCTGGGTGTGGATGGAGCGGCCACGCCCACATGGACACACCCAAAATGGCCACGCCCACCTAACCACGCCCAAAATGGCCACACCCACATGGCCACACCCAGCTGGACCACACCCAGAATAGCCACACCCACTGAACCACACCCCAAATGGCCACACCCACTCAACCACACCCAGAATAGCCACACCCACCGAACCACACCCCAAATGGCCACACCCACTGAACCACACCCACTATGGCCACACCCACTGAACCACACCCAGAAACGTCCCCGCCCATTACACGCCACAGCCCGTCCTGATTGGCTGCTGCGTGTGAGCCACGCCCCCTCATGCTGACAGCACATCCTAAGCTGCTTAAGCCCCGCCCCCTCATTACCACACCTTCCCTTCAAGCCCCGCCCCATTTCTGCGCAAGCCACGCCCCTTTCCCGCTGGCCACGCCCCCAGCGCGGCGCGCCCAGCCCGAGGCCACGCCCCCAGTCCGCTCAAGCCACGCCCCTTTTCCCGCTGGCCACGCCCCCAGCGCGGCGCGCCCAGCCCGAGGCCACGCCCCCAGCGCCGCTCAAGCCACGCCCCTTTCCCCGCTGGCCACGCCCCCAGCGCGGCGCGCCCAGCCCGAGGCCACGCCCCCCGGCGCAGGCCCCGCCCCCCCGGCGCTCCCGCGCACCTTGTCCCAGAGCTGGCGCGCGAACTCGCGCACGCGCGGCTCCTCCACGCGCAGCGCCTCGGTCTCGCGCAGCCGCTCCAGCAGCTCCTCCAGGCTCCGGCTGCGCCGCGCCAGCGCCACCAGGAAGGCGGGGACGTGGCGGCCGCTGAGGCCCAGCAGCTCCTGCAGCTGCCCGGACACCCAGCGCTCCAGNCCCACCGGGACACGCCCACCGGGACACGCCCACCGGGACACACCCAATGGGACACGCCCACAGGACACGCCCACAGGGACACACCCAATGGGGACACGCCCAATGGGACACGCCCACAGGGACACGCCCACCGGGGACATGCCCAATGGGGAGGGGCTTGGCTGGAGTGGCCACGCCTACTTGGACACACCCAGAATAGCCACACCCACTTAACCACACCCAGATCGGCCACACCCACTTGGACATGCCCAGAATGCCCACACCCATTTGGACGCACCCAGAATGGCCACACCCACTCAACCACACCCAAAATGGCCACACTCACAAAACCACACCCACTGTGGTCACACCCACTCAACCACACCCAAAATCACCACACCCAGAATAGCCACACCCATGTAACCACACCCAAAGTGGCCACACCCACTGTGGCCACACCCCCAAATGGCCACACCCACTATGGCCACTCCCACATAACCACACTTAAATTGCCCACACCCAGAATGGCCACTCCCACTCAGTCGCACTGCTTGGCTACGCCCCCAAAATGGCCACACCCACATAACCACACCCAAAATGGCCACACCCACTGAACCACACCCATAAACGTCCCCGCCCATTACACGCCACAGCCCGTCCTGATTGGCTGCTGTGTGTGAGCCACGCCCCCTCATGCTGACTGCACATCCTAATCTGTTTAAGCCCCGCCCCCTCATTACCACACCTTCCCTTCAAGCCCCGCCCCATTTCTGCGCAAGCCACGCCCCTTTCCCCGCTGGCCACGCCCCCAGCGCGGCGCGCCCAGCCCGAGGCCACGCCCACAGCGCCGCTCAAGCCACGCCCCTTTCCCGCTGGCCACGCCCCCAGCGCGGCGCGCCCAGCCCGAGGCCACGCCCCCCGGCGCAGGCCCCGCCCCCCCCGGCGCTCCCGCGCACCTTGTCCCAGAGC